ATAAAAACCAACTCTTCTTCTTCTTCTTCTTCTGTTGCCTGGAGATCAGTTGTAATTCCAGGAGATCTCTAGCCTCTACCTGGCAGTTGACAACCCTAGTTTCGGGTACAGGGTGTTCTGATTGAAGCAAACAAGCACAATCCAACTGCTATGGAGGGTGGGACCAGTCATAAAATTTTGAGAGGTTCAGTGCAATAGCACGGGCTTTCCCCCTATGTTTTATTGTTCCTTCATTTTCTTATATGTGACATCTGGTTCCTTTGCAAAGGGAGGGCGGGATATAAATGCTAAAATAAAATTAAAAAATTAAAAAATGCTGGATTTTAACATTTAAAAGATAGATGTAGTATTTCTGCTATCCCTGAAATAGGGCCTGCTGATTTATACGCTGTCTGGATTTATAAAACACGTGTACATAGAATATCCAAGTTCTTCAACTGCCACCATTGTTCCCCTCCTTTCCCATCAATTTTGCTTTTAGGAGAAACTTACAGTTTTTGATTCATGGATCTGTGAGGTTCTATGTTTCAAGGTTAGCCCTTTTCACATAATATATTATGTTTCTTAGTTTATCTGAATTTGTGTTTGGGCTGCTTTTGGCCCTTTGCCATCAACATGGCCCCTTATTGTTTATTACATTTTTGTTATTGTGCCAACCACAGGCTGCAGGAAGTCCCTGTAGAGTAGGGGTTGCCTGGTGGGATTGTCGCATCAACGGGGGGATTTTGAGGGCATTCTGAGAGTGGGTGATGACATTGTGTGATGTGCTGATATCACCTGGAAGTGACATCATCGTGTCAGTTCTGTGGAGGGTGACACTCTGGCTTTTGGGCAAAACTCTATGGTAGAACTGGCATCAAACCATAGAGTTTTGCCCCAAAACTAGTGTCGTTGTGCGATGTCCCCAATGCAATGACATCGCTTTCGCGTGACAACAACGTGTCAGGGTCATTGCACAGTGATGTCACTGCTTGGGGGTGGGGTTTCCCAGCTGGCCAGTCTTGGGCAGAAGCCCCCAAAACAAGGGATCCCCCCCAGGAACTGGAGAATGGCAACCCTACTGTGAAGACATATCTATAATGTCTTCAAACATGTTTCAGGAAATGGATTTGAGATATTGTTCTGGTTAACTTCTGTGGTGGAATTCCTGGTGCCTAGTATTTCCCCACCTCTCCTTAACATGAATCTGCTTGTGTCTTTCTTTCTTCCTTCACCTTAAAAGCTTCTGTAACAAATTGTGATGTATTTGACAGTAATGGTCCAGAACCAGCAAGCCTTGAAATGATGACCTGTTCTTCACCTCAGGTTTCCTAGCATTTGCTACTTTTAGGCCTTTCAAGGTACATGTGGAACCAGTAACTCTTGTGCATCGCTGTGGCATTTTGACAGAGATGTTGCTCTTCTGTAGTTTGCCCAGTGTCATCTTGCACACTCACTTTGTCCCTCTCATCTTGCCCTTGCTTTGTCAGTTCCCATTGTTGAATTTCTGTGGCAATATTTATATGTTAAGAGCTCCATAACGTAACTGCGTTTTTCTTTTTTTTAACCTAACTTTTTATCGTTTTGAACTTTATATGAAGTAATTTTTAGTCAGGTGGATTTGTGGGATCAAAGAAAAGCAATGCTCTTCCGGCATTAGATTCCTTTCCCAACAGTGGTTGGGATTCTGTTTGTGTATTGCTGGACAAGGAGTGTAGATACGCCTGTGCCGTTCTAAGTAATGGCATTACTTCCCTCTCTCGTGGTTAGGAAAGATTATGTGATCACCAGGGGCAGATTGGCCATTATGGCTACCAGAAAGTCTCCTGGTGGGCCATTGTCCTCTCCTCCTGCAGCCTAGTGGCCAAGAGGCCACTGCCTAGCCCAGTTGTACGTGACGATGGTGTAAGTGGCCTGGTCAAATCACATGCACAGAAGACACTGCCTAGGCCAGATGAGTTGCTTCCAGCTTATTGTTTCTCCTCTTGCAAGGGGGGGATATGGGTCAAGGGGCAGAGCTCTTTTCCAGGACTACTTTTCCCTTCCCAGTCTGCCTCTGGTGATGACACACTATGTAGGTAACATACCCAATTGAAGATATTTTATTGATTTTATTTTATTACATTTGTAGTTCCCCTGGTGTTTATGGCAATGATAGAATTGAGCTCTGCAAGTACACATTAGTCCCCTTCACCTGCCTGTAGAGCAGAAAAAGTTGTACAGCCATGTTGGTCCAGAGGATTGCTGTTTTGGGGTATGGGACTTTGAATCATCGTTAATGCTTGCACATTGGAATGCTGTGTGATGGTTAAGTGACTTTGGAGTTTAGATGTTATAAGGAAGCACTGGAAAATCATTGACTAACTGTAATGTTAATACAATTTAACCCCTCTTTTTGTATATAGTGAAGTTGATTAAGGGGTCAATTTTGGATGCATTGCAATTTTAATTTTTTTCTTTAGACAAGTTTCCCCCCTGAAATTATATTTATATGAACCCTGATCCAATATTTTCAGTATAATTCTTTCCATGCTTATGCAGAAGTGTGCTTCGCTGAGGTCTCTTCCCTTATGAACCTACCTATTCACTGCGATCATCTTGAAAACCCTTCTCTGTTTGTCTCTGCCTTTGGAAGTAAGGAAAGCAATGATCCATAATAGTTCTGTGTTTGTTAGTTTCAAACAGAATAGCCTGTACCCAGAACTAGGGTTGCCAACCTCCAGGTGGAGGCTAGGGATCTCCTGGAATTACAACTGATCTCCAGGCGACAGAGATCAGTTCACCTGGAGAAAATGGCCCCTTTAGAAGGTGGACTCTATGGCATTATACCGCACTGAAGGCCCTCCCCTCCCCAAATCCCACCCTCCTCAGGCTCCACCCCCAAAATCTCCAGATATTTCCCAACCCAGAGCTGGCAACCCTACCTGGAACACCCTTTCCCAGGAGCCTCACTGTGCATCTTCATTGTCACTGTGTGTGTCAGGCAAAGATATTATTTCTTCTGTTTTGGGGCGTCATCTATCCATCACTAGATACTGTGCTATTGTTATAACAGTTATTCACAAGTGGAGTATATTGTCCATGTTTGGAAATCCAGTTGGAAATTATTGCTACAGCAGAACAACATTGCAAATATCCTGCATTTTGTGGATGCAGCCTTTTTGTGAGTCTCTCTGAGTATTTTACTCTAGCTATTTTAGTATTGGTTTCTGGCTGTTAAGAACTGTTACTATGTATTGGGATAGTTAAGTGTCATTTAAGGTTGGTTAAAATATTTGTTTATGATTGTTTATCTAGTTTAAGTGATTTAATTGCATTCTGCATACGTTCTTGGTTATAGGTCACTTTGAGACATTTATTTTGGAAAAGTAAAATTAAAATACTTTAATAAGTTAATGCATTGGAGGGTGCTCCCATCAAGGATTGCAGCTTAAATATTGTCCTGTCTGTTTTGTCATGTTAACAAAAAACTCATAATCTAGTCTCTTATGTAAATGTTATACATTTGTTATCTGGAAAGTGAGTTATTACTGACTTGCTGGTAACATTCAGGAATGTGACTCCCTACTTGAAAAATGCAAACAGAATTTAATTGTTTTCCACTAGAAGGGTGTGTTCCATGAGAGAGGGTATTCAGACATGTGATTCTCCACCTGCATTCTAAAGCATTATCATCTCAGGGGAACCATGCCACCTGTTTTTTCTGATCAGATTAAAATATCCTTTGGGCTGGATATACATCTTCCTGCTTGCTCTGATTAACTTGCTTGGATAGCTAATTATTGTATTACGTAGTGTACTAATAGTGCTCTGTTTTTTGGGACACAGATACAATACAAGTTGATTTAGATTTTTCTAGCAGTTTATATATCCGCCTCAATAGTAGTTTGGAAAAGTCTCCATTAGTAATAGGATTGTCAGCACTGGCAACCCTTGAGAGATTATTGGGGGTGGGGACAATGAAAGTGCTCTATGAACAACCATAGAGTTTTGGGGTGAATCCTAGATTGTCACCCTGAAACAGTGACATCATTTCCAGGTTTATGACAGAAGTGATATTGCAGCAGTGTGATACTGGTTTCCCCCACAAATTTACTTCCAGTGTTCCACCAGGCAGCAGAAAATATCCAGTCAACCCTCCCAGTGGAGAGTTAAAGTAGGAAAACTATAGTTAATCTCCAAGTATTTTGAATGGGGTCGGGCAGAAAGCTAGTTAAATAAACAACTAGAACTACAGTTCCCATAGTTCCATAGAGCAAGGGTGATTATTCAACTCTTTTAAGTCTGTAGTGTAGACATCCTGCTATGTTTAAGAATCTTGTTCTGGTTTTCACCCTCAGCATTTTTCTGGGTACCTTTATATCAGTTTAATTTCATGCTCCTTACAAAACCCTGACTGAAACCTGTATTGTTTGAATCTCATTTAGAAGAGCACCAAAGCCACCCACAGGTCACTAAATTTGACTTTGTAGAAATATTGTTGACTGTCATGGTAGGTTATTTCCTCCCATGAAAGGGTTGCTTCATTTCTCTTGCTGAATTGCAGCCCGTGCCTCTGCTTACCTTTTCCATCTGCAGTCTGATGTGGTTTATTTCTTTTAATCCCCAGTAATGCATCTGAAGTGAAATTTCTGCAATGCTGCTTTGTGCGAACAGAACTATGAAATTTTATGGCCATCTGTTCCTTCGCTGAAATAAAGAGACGCCTGACAGGGGCTTCAATTAAAAAAAAGAGGCTTAAAAGAATCAGACTCTAACAAAATGGACTTAACGCACAGGGGGCTGTTCCCATTTCTGTGCATGTAATATGTTTGTATGCATTAGTTTGTGTATGTGGCCAACTTAGAATGTGTTTTATATAGAATATGTTTTATATAACTTAGAATTTGTTTTATATAGAGAAGGGATTGAGTTTCATTAGTTGGATGCAATTATCTTGCCCTGTGTGAAGCTGCCTTTCTTGTCAAAAGCAAAGAAGAACCACTAAGTCTATTATAACATCTCTTTTGATGTTTTTATAGGATATAATGAAAGATGAATGTTCAGCACTGACGCTGCAACTTAAGGAGAGAGATGAACTAATTTTCCAGCTTCGTGAAGAACTGGTAAGTAGGACTGAACACTCATTTCTTCACAAAGCACATCCATAGAGCAAGTGAACTTGTTGGGACCCATGTGTGTGTGGGTTTTTTTTATACACACACAGAGTATTTACTCAAGTGCAAGTCTAGTTCTCCCTCCCACACAGGTATGCCATCAAAAAACAAGGGGGCCATCTTATATTTGCATACAAGTTACCGTTGTGCCCAATAACAACTTTTTCTGTGGCTATATAAAAAATGTAAGGGATCGTCTTACATTCAGGGTTGTCGTCCTTTTGAATCACTGTGGCATATAATATATTTGTGTCTGTTGTAAAATAGATAGCCAAGAGCCATATTAATCATTCATTCTGATTCAAGGAGATTTACAGGTTCTTGGGTATCTGGGGACTTGTCAGCCTCAGAAAGGGCTACTATGCAGGGACACTGATAGCGGTTGTTTGTTTTGGAAGATTGTGTTGACAGTTGTTTTGCAGTATCAAAGAGGCATTAGTCATTGTTGAAGGGAATGTCGTAGCTCTGTGTGGATCCTACCTAGCATAGGGTGTGGGTCCACAGAAATACAAGAGAGAGAGAGAGTTGAATGAATAATTGATGGTTTATTTTTTTTTAAAAAAATCTATCGGTGGTGGTTTTTAATGAAAAAGTCACAGAGGAAAGAGCTAAGTTTTCAATTTTATCTCTTTTGTTTAAAAAAATCATTTGCTGCATCCACTATCAAAAAAGGTTATTTGTTGCCATTATATTGAGTTATAAAGCGTATGTTAAAAATAAATGGTCTTCAAATGGGGCATGCCACAATGGACAAAGGGTGAATAAGGTTCACAGTACCTACCATAAAAACATTGGTCATTATAATATAATGGTATTTTATTTGTTGAAACCTGTTTTATGGATCCAGTGGTCCATGGACAAGAGAACCACAGATATGTCCCTTATTTCTTTCTCTTCCTTCTGCGTTAGTCCACTCCACCCCAGGAAACTTGTGAGGTCACAGGACCTATGTGGTATGTTAGCTACATAGGTTGGAGGGCTGCCCTGAAAGGGCAGAATGGCCGGGTCCTCTCTCTCCCATCTTTACAGCTGTGTTATGATTAGTTTGCACATGACTTAATAAGTTTTATTTGACTGAACTGGGGTTAAGGGATCTCAGATGCACTTCTGTACAAAATATAGGGCTGCACCAGTTTTTTGCATGCAAGTATTGTCAGCTTGAAAGCTGCTCTTTCAGGAGTGAAGTGCTTTCTTGAAACACCTACTGTTCACTCTGTTAGCTGCTTGATCAGCTGCACCTTCAGGACCATTTATTTAAGCACAGGTTTCTCTGCAGTAAATACAACCAATCAGGGTTTACAGTCACAACATCATCACACTGCCACATAACCAATCATGGTCAGAGATCCTTCTGAAATTCCATTCATCTTAATTTTTGCTTTGATTTTGTCATTTGGAATTTTCTGGCCTTGTGTTTGAAGTGGAACTCATCCATTAGGAGTTCTCAATATTTGTGAATATTGTACTGAACACTTTAAAAGTGAAGTTTGCCACAACCCTCAGCGTCTTTACCTCTTCTCCCTACTTCTGCTGCCACTGAGAACATATACACTGATAACACATAACAACAACAACAATAATATAAAATCATGATTATAGGTGCACAGGCATGCCATTAAAACAACTCACAGAAGAAATCTTGACACAATCATATGTATGATCTCTTCATTGTAGCTTCTTTGCAATGTTTTGTCAATGTATATGTGTACATTGGTAACATGTACAGGCATACAAACGATAGAAAGGAAAACCTCAGCAGCTCCTGCATTATATAATTCCAAAATAATTTTTAGGTCTTCTCTGCATTAAGTTGGAATTAAGGATGAGTGAAATTCACCACAGAATGAAATAGAAGAAGTAAAAGTATCAGAGAAATGTGTTCATTCTTCATTAGTTTTTAGCTTTGTGGTGATGATTCAGGGTAAGGTGAGTTCTTCCTGTCTGCACGCTGAACACATAAACATTTTGCCCATTGACACACACCTCTATTCGCCAAAAGACTTGGGGTGCTTTTTGCAGCTGAAGGACATTTGGCAATTCCACCCCCCAAAAAACAAAAAATTACTCTTGCTTTGCTCAACAGTAATAGATTAATAGGACTGTGATTTAGTCAAGTACCCTCTGCTCTGATATATCCAATTCAATAAAAGGAGACAAGGGGGAAATGGCTTGCTGAAGCAAGACTCAGGGTGACAGTCCAATGAATATTTGTCAATGGTCCATGGTATCTCTCTTTGACAGTTCCACCATGTTGTCAAAGGTTAAATGTTCTCTGTTCTAGAACAGTCATTCCTCTATTCAAACCAGTGGTCCATCTAGACCTTCACTGATGTGCATTAAATATTGGTTAAATCTCTTGTGAAGGCTGCCTTCTACTTTGGGTTTGTTTGTCTCTTTTCGAATGCAGTTATGTGCACAAATTTCTAAGTGCTATTCTGTGTCATTAATTTTATATAGATATGAATACATTTGCAGAGGGCACCCCAATACTGAAATGAAGGTCTTAGATAGATTAATTTCAACACCAGTTCCTTCCCTTTATTTTTTATATGTGTGTGTGTAGCGAGTTTAAGATATGCATTTCCAGCACTCTGTAGTTTACGAAGGTCTTTGTGGTCCTATATGGTTGTGCCGTTAAGCCTAGTCTCTCATCTATTTATTTATTTTTATGTATGTAATGTATTTATTTATTTATAGTCTGCCTTTCTCACTGAGACTCTAGTTGAACTACATAATGTAAATCAGTGCAGTCAACAGAACAATACAGCTAATATGCAATGTAATAGGATGCAGAACTGGAGAAATTTGGAATGGGGTTGTCCTTAGAACAAAGCATATGTATTAAACATGACATGTTAAACAATACAAAAGTGTGTGTGTGTGTGAGAGAGAGAAGTGCTGTCAAGTCACTTCTGGATAATGTAGTTCCTATTTCCTTTCTAAGAATGCCCTCCTGACCAATTCTGTCTTGCATAGCTTGCGAAATGCCAGGAGCCTGGGAGCCTTCCAGACCTCCTCAGGCTGGTCATTGCACCAGATGGGGCCTCTACAGAGAAGGTACATATATGGACAGTTGTTAATCTTGCTCATCTGCATGGTGGTAGCTGCAGAAGACCCTGCTACGATGAGCGAAGCTGTCATGGTGGAGCATAGACGGAGAGGCTGTCCTGCAAATATGAGGGTCCAAGGCCATGAAGGGCTTTGTATATGAAAGCCAATACCCTGCACTGAGCTCTGAATCTGATGGGCAGCCAATGGGATGACTGCAGAAGGGGTGCTATACGCATATTCTGCCTAGCTCCCAATAACCAAGCTGTAGCATTCTGTACCAGCTGACATCTCTAACGTCTCTTTAGGGATACTATTTTGACTGGGATGGAAGGTCACTGACGCCATTACATCTGTACTGTATTCTTGGAACTAAGGCAAAGGCTCAGTTGCCTCTGCTAGACTGGTCTGAATCCTGGTAGAGTATTTGTCATGGCATTAGAAATTACAGCGGATCTCCAGAATGCAGAGATATCAGAGAGGATAGACTTTGGCATCAGACCCCCACTAAGCTCCCTCCCCTCCTGGGTACCACTTCCCGGGCACCACCCCTAAATCTCTAGGAATTTCTCAAGCTGGAGTTGCCAACCCTACCTATATACTTCTAGAAATAATGGCTCATGGAAGCAGTGTGTTTTCTTAAGTAATCAAAATTTTTAAATTTTTTATAAGAGTTGTCTTGTGTGTGTGTGTTTCTGTAGGCTGCTTGCTTGAACAATTAGTTGCTAACTATTTACCATAGGAATTCATTAGGAAGGCAGAAAAAAGGGAGCGACTTCCAGAGATCAGCTGCTGTCTTGTTGCATCTATTTATTGATGTAATTTGGAGCATTTATTAGCCACTTTTTGTGATGAAAGTCTTTCAAAGTGGTTCATACCACATTGGCATGATGTCTGTTTCAGATTTGTTCCTGTCTTGCTTTCCTGGTCCCCCTTTGCAGTGCAGGTGGAGGCAACATTGGGCACAAGAGGTGGCATACTGAAAGGGTCAGATGTACCCTGGAGTAGATCAGCAGAGAGCCACCCCAAGGATTACTGTTTAGCTTCCGAAATTGACAAGATTAGGCTAGTCTGGGCTATCCAGGTCAGGGCAGAAAATAACTAGCAGGAAACAAATAAATGTTCCTATAAGGGGATTATTTGCGTACCACCCCTTAATTTAAGCCACCGCCCCCCCGCCAAGATCAGCATAATTAAATTTTGTGGTGTAACCCTTTACAAAGACAGTAAAAACCTTTATTCCAATTAGAAACATGATTTGTTTTCCTTATCTATGCTTAAGTGTGACAGAATAAAGTTTGAGTCCAGTGGCACCTTTAAGACCAGCAAAGTTTAATTCTGGCTGTAAGCTTTTGTGTGCATCCACACTCCTTTGGATACATCGAAACAGACTTTGCCAGCCATTACATATAGGAGTCAGGAGGTTAGTTGCCAGAAAGGGCTAATTTGAGTCAAGATGCATAACTAACTGAGCGATAAATTGGTAAGAACTGTGAACAGCAGCAAATTAGCATACAGATAATAAAAGAATTAACAAACAGATGTGAAAACTGAGTGACTTAGCAAGTGTAGTGAGATAAGAACCTGATATCTCTGTTCAGCCCAGGGGGTTCCATTGTCCTGAGTGTTGTAACAATTTGTAATTCAGCAATCTCTGGTTCTAGTCTAGAATGAGACAGTTTCCACATCTTCCCAGTCTCTCTGCTTGTACTATATCACAGCGTCTCCCTATGAGGTACAGGTACTAGCGCAGTAAGTAAAACCGTGTCTTCATTGTATGTAACTAGGGTTTGGGCAACAGAACTCAAACCATGATCTTTTTTTTTTTATTTCTTCACTTGGACTTTGTGAAAACGTGTAACTGGTATCTAGCTGTTGTCAACTAATTTGGTGAGACTAAT